CTCTAACTCTGCATAATAATAATAATAATAATAATAAAAACGATCTATAATAACCAACAAACACAAGGTATACGGGCGGTGTTTTCATCCAATATTGTATACGTATATATACGTTCTCTATATTGCAGACTAATGTCGATATTAATTTTACTTATGTGAGTTGGCATTCATAATATATTAAATAGTTGGATTTGTATAGCGCATCATGCGAAAAAGCCTCTGCGTTTGATGATTGAGCTCATTGAGTTTGACATTTAAAAAAAAGTTTATGCCATTTTATGAAACTAAAAAAACCTACTCCTTAAACTAAGGCATGGTTGGCCGTTGGCTCCGTGGAGTTCATCCGCCCTTTGTTCAGCTGTTCTTTTTTCATGCTGCTGGGTGTCCATCCACCCTCCCAATGGCGGCCGCTAAAGACCACCAGATTAGTCGCCGACTCGACCGGATGCAGTTTATAACGTCTTACCCAGGACACTATAATCTTATACTACACTTACATACGCTAAAATAAACTAAAAAAAGGAGGAATATATTATAACATCTTGGTACTTTAAAGTAGACAAGTGCCTATCTACTTAACAATTTATCGGAAAGTAAGGGGGCGCAAACGCCAGGTGTGGGTATACGGACTTTTCTTAGGGGCTTGGACTCCTGCGGTCATGGGCGGATCCACGGTGGCCCGTGCACCTCACCCCCGTCAGCCCCGCGAGAAAATAAAAAAGAGGGAGAAAAAATTGAGAAGAGTTATTAAAAGGAGGAAAAAGGGGAAAAAAGGGAAGTGTGCCCATGAGTTCAGTGGCGGATCTAGCAGTGGGCGACTGGAGAGTTCGATTTTCGATTATTTTACCACACTAATTTTGAATTTTCTATTGATTGACAACGAACACAACGCCATATCCCCGATGCCGATTTTTTTTTCCAACGATTTAATAAATTAGGATTGTTTATCTATATTACAGAATTTAGTACCCAGCTAGAACAGCATGCTCAGTGGCGTAACGCCTATGCACTCTCATGAGGGGTCCGAACCAAGGGGTACACTAGAGTCCCGGAATAAAAAATCACTAGTGGGCTCACGGAGAGAGTTCATATGGCTTAGACGGTCACCACAATATTAGGGATTGGCAATCAAAATAACGTTATTTGAATAGGCAAATAATTTTTTTTTAAATTTTTGATCCGACGACCTTGTCGTGGCGTCGGACGACAGGGGGTCCAGGCCTGTCGGACGGGCGGAGGGTGGGGGAAATGCCCTCCCTTCCCCCTCCTGCTGGCACCACCACTGTTGCGCTCCACGCTCCCTCTTATTATGATAATTGTTTCGGCGGGCAATCCCTTTTATGTAACATTTTCATTGTAAAAAAGCCGATATTTCTATAACTCAAAATATTACCGAATAATGTAGATTACATAAAAAGGCCAAAGAGAAGCTTAAATGAGTCTCTGGGAAGCTAGAATGGCTCTAGATTACAGCAAAAAGGAGTTGCAATTTCTTTTTTTAATGAATCAGGCCAATATGGCATGGTTATCAAACTACAGCACATTATTTATGGGAAGATCATCCCACGACGTTTTATCATACCGAATTCCAATCGCTTCCTTGTAAAATCGGGTTAATGAGTCATGATTGAGTACGTTGATAAACGTATTGGCGGGTAATTGTGCAATCTTAAGCATTACGTGTTTAACCTAATACTCTGGTATCTATATTTCTAGTTTTCATGACGTAATTTTGATTAGAATGTCTATTACAAAAGTTTCATTTTAGTTTTTAACTACCGGTACTAATCGACCTACTCCTATTTCATGTCATTTATTTATTTTCCAGATAATTACAAAAACTTTAGAAAATCTAGCACTATTCTGGTGGATTATCAATAAGCAAAACAAATCACTATGCAAAGACACTTCAGTAGTAGGCCTACTAGTAAACAAAAATAAAGCAGAGTTCAGTCAACATAAAAGGCAAACAACGCAGAGAAAAATGCACAATCGCCAAATAGAAATAAATCAGTAACAGAAGGATCTCATCCCGCTTCCGCGGGAATGAGATAAAAACAGAGCTTTGCATGTGCAAAACAAACAACTGGAAAAGGCAACAGAGCATCACCAATGAGAAAATCTGAACAGAGGCACTTGGCAACACATTTAGCCTAACACGAATATATTTTAGTCTATTGAAGATTGTGGAAGTTTTAAGGTCAGTCTAGATTGACAAGAATCTATTACATTATATGCGATGTTTTCTTATTATTGGTGTTAAATTGCATTCCTATTCGTATCTGCTTTTAACTTAAAATTAATTATAAGTCCTCATTTTAAACATAGCACCATATTCTAGATATTATCCATCCTTACTTTGTTTATAATCCTCATCTTCATTAATCATAATACGTGGCAAGGTCAATTGGTACTTGATTCATATACGGAATAAGATTAAATAAATATAATAAACAAAATAATAACAAATAGGCCTATGTACATACATACATATACAAATAAATAAATAGTAACATTGCTCGAAGGACCATGTTGCAATAATCGTACCAAGCATTTAGCCTTTTTAACGAAAATTTCCCTTATTTCAGTTGTATGAAAAAAGAAAAAAAAGTGTCTGGCGGGATTCGGACCTGCAACATCTCGCTGTCAAGATGAGTGTCATACCCATTCACGGAGACCTGGAGTGTTTTTCTCATACAACTGGCTAAAATTCTCACACGCAGTGGAGCTGTATATAATTATATCATGATTTTTAAATATAGTTATAAATAAATATAATTTGTATCGCCTTCTTTTGAAACTTTTGGAAGTATAATATTGTTGGCGTACTATACTATGACAAGTTTAGACTTGTCACCAAACTGTCGCAAAAACATTGTTTTGAAAACAATGAAAACGTGTTTACAGATATCACTCATTTCCTTAATCGTTGTGTGTACTGTAATTATATAATTGTATAGTCTCTTATAATAG